ACTTATCCTAAGGTATATACTATCTACTTTTAAGGTAGCCAGGTCATTAAAAAACTAATCATATCTGTGTGATAAAGGAAATCTAGATGAATTTTAAATAATCAACTTCCTAAAATATTTTCTCTAAACTAAAAGTAAAAATTAAAGTAATGAAAGTGCTAACTAGATATCTTGAATGCTCATCTTGCAAATTTGGAAAATAGGAAAACAAACAACTTCATTATCAATTGCTTACTACCAAAAATTACTGTAAATTAAATGACAGTAATTGTAGTACAAACTGAAATCTATGGAACAGATTTAATGCAGAGATACTTATAGCATTAAAACATACATTAGAAAACAAAGAACAAAATAAAAACAATATATAAAACAATCTAGAAGCCAAAAAAGAACATACTTAAGGAAAATAGGAAGAAAAATTAAACATTATTAATAATTGAGGAAATTAAATTTATGAAAATATATAATGAAAACATTGAGAAATATGTCAAAATATTTAAGAATAGAAATTAGAAAACATTATTGATAAAATGTGATTATATTGCCTTAAACAAAAACAGAAAACTTGGAGTAAATAATAATCATGAATCAAGTTTATTCAGTAAAATATCTCCAGGAGCTATTAACAGCATAACAAACACTTGAAAAGATTTACAGTATTTTCCAGTGTACACTTGCATAAGGCTTTTAATGAACTAAAAATACAGTAAAATAGGAGAAAGCAAGCTCAAGAAATCAGAGGTCCAATTGCTTTCAGATTCATCCAGAGCCCTCCCCCAGTCAAAAGGGACATAGTTCATCTTCACGTTATAAACCATCAAGATACATCTGAGGAATTTAGCTTTATGGGAACTGAGATATAAGTTTGCAGAGGGGTATTTTATACCCTACTAATTGTGTAACTACAGTTAAACTGTGTAGTCATTAAACTGGGTATATACCCTCAATTTATATACCTCTAGGCAATGTGAGTGTGCTTCTAAATGGTAAGTTCAGGAGGGTTGAAACTTCAAATGGCACACTGTAAATTATTTATAATTATGGTTAATGATCTAGAAGCAATACAAATTGATTGTTAACTGACTGCAAATTTTTACTCTAGTTAATCAGCTTCTGTTGGTAGATTTCAAAAGGGTTTTATTATAGTCCTGATACATTTGTTCATGTATATTTCTAAAAACACCTTCATTGCATACTTTATTTAATACTTGTGATTAAAAATGTATTAATCAGTTAAGATTATCTAAAGATTACAAATAATAAGTTTCTTGTAAATAAAGAAGTTTGCTTAAAAAAAGAAGAAATGGGAGGACCATCAAAATAGGTAATATTAAACTGCCATCCAAATTGAAAAGTATAACATATATAAATATGGAACATAATTACATCATCATTTTGTGATACATAGTTATTGAATTTTCTATTTTTTGAAAAGTATTTTAATATATGTAAATTATTATTTTTTATTCAAGAAATCTAATTTTAATATTTTCTAGAAGTGGAGATAAACTTCTGCCCACCTCCACCTCAGATTCCCAATGCTGAAGATATGAAAACCACAGTGAAATATCAAGATGGAGAAAAAGTATCTGTTCTTTGCAAAGAAAATTATCTGATTAAGGAAGCAGAAGAAATTGTGTGCAAAAATG